GCGCAATTGACCAACTTTACAGTGCCGCAAGGGCGCGACGTCTCATTTACGTGCGTGGTCAACAACTTGGGACAATATCGGGTGAGTACATATGAACATTTATGCACATATACTAACTTTCATAGGTACAATCATATGTATAAGGATGTTAGAATATATACTATATATATATATACTTACGGGATGGATATACATACATAAGTACGCTGCAAGTATTCAGTTCAAAAGCTGAAAAAGATGGCCCGAGTAGCCACACAAGTATGAATGTTGCTTTGTATGCACACCAGTGATGGAAAAGTAGGCACAATAGTGCCATTTTTGGGACTTTCATTCTCAGAGGCATTTTTGGCACAATTCATCCTGTTTTGGCATAATCATAAAATATAGAAATTTAGCATAAAATGCCAATATATAACAAAAAATCACAATCCACATTAAATAAAAAAAAATTACAAACTAAAATAAAAAAACTAAAATAAGCGCCGTGAGAAATATTTGCAAACCGCTGAATTCTATTGTGAATACGCAGTACAAAAAGTAAGTTTTCGCAACAAGAAGCTTTTAATTCACTATACCCGTTAGTGTGGACTTTAACCCTAACTAAACCTCCAACCGTCCAAGTACCGAACCCCCCGGTACCACTATCAAGTATTACGTCGGGAGGCGGTTGAGCACTAGGCTCGCAGGTTCATTCCAGTCGGTTTTACTCAGTCCTGGGCTACATCTAGTAGGCTTTGCCACGTCTTGTTTAAAGAGAAAGAGTTTTTTAACTATTTTTTTACTATATTCTTATATATGTATGTACATACATAAGTGTGTAAAAATATCAGAATAGCTGAATTTCCTTGTATATGTCTAAGGAAAAGTGATTTACTGTAATAACTTAGTTAATTAATAATTATTATATTACTTCAGAGTATTTTAAAAATATTATTTCTAAATATACATATATTTATTGTTCTTAAAAGGCCTTAAAACAAATTTAATTTTTAATTTCATTGTCTTTTCGGCGCTATTTTTGAAGACCATTAGGCACATTTTGAAATTTTGAATTTCCATCCCTGATGCACACTGTCAATGTGGCAATAAATTATTTTGCACTCTCAAGCGGAGCGCACGTTCTCCATTTTGTGATGGCAATATGTACATATATATATTTGTATGTACTTCTATGAGTAACTCAGTGATGGAAAGAACGCACGACTGACCTTAGCACGGCCCTTGGTATAGCATAAAAGAAATTGCAAATTTACGTACGATTATAAAAAACACTTACGAGCTCGTTTATGTGTGCCTATCAAAACAGTGTGAGAGTGAGTGCATTTTTGCCGCGCTTGAGAAATGAAAGAAACTAGTGTTGCCCTCTAATGAAGCAGCTGCTCATAATATTCATTTCGCAATTTATATTTACCCTTTATTAAAGATATGTTTTTAAAACAGCTTGTTTTCTTCGAATTCTGTGATTTAGGCAAATGACACTGAAGTTGGGTTAGGCTAGATTAGATTAGAGAGGCGTGTATGAGGCTATCATACCCCCACTCGGAGACAAGTTTTCTCATTGAGATTGTTGAAAGAGTTGTTCTAGTATTCATTTACTATCCCGGAGAAAATTGTGGAGATCAACTAATTTCACTTCCATTATCTTCACCGACCTGGTGGAAAAGCGAGATCGCAAGTGAGTAAAACGCCTTGTCTATAGAATTGGAAATTAGCAAAGGGTGAACCGATTCCGCCTCTTTCTTATCCAGACAACTTCTGCAGAGAAACCTTCGATATTTACTACGACGACGAAGCCAGCAGATTAATACTTTGAAGTTACTCAGAGCCTTCCCCACGGCAAATATCTCCGCCTCACAAATACTGCAGCCAGGCGATACAATAGCCTTATCTACAGATTCTCTGAATAGAGACTTGCTCCAACTGCCTTCTCATCCATGATCCATCGGTGTGGATGGTCACCTTTTTTAGCTTTAGTAGGCAGCTGGTATTTGGCCTTAGTAAAGAGAATTAAGGGATCTTCCGTTTCATTATAAGCAAGGCATGTTTAGTTTTAGATTGATTATGTGTTGCTGTAGTGCTTGAAAGGATCTTCGGCATTCCTTGACGCATATCAAGGCAACCATGGGCGCAGCCAGGTAGGGGCAGGTGGGTGCTCGAGCCCCTCCTAACTTTCAAATTTGCCTTATATATATATAAAATAGTACCCTGAAATGCCGGCTTAATAGGGTCATACCAGTGCCATATAGGAGTAGATCGCATTAAGAATCTTTTATCTCCGCTCTTCGATGTTGGTGTTCCAGGAAAGTTTAGAGTCGAGAATAATCCGCAGGAATACGTTGCATCTTTTGAAAATTTAAGATTTGCTCCATTGAGGGACGGAGTTCGAAATTTGTCTTACTTATTTCGCTTGGTAAATAGAAAATGTTCGGTATTGGAGAGGTAACCCCTAGACTGTTTCTTTCTGCAACCCTGCCAGATGGTTAATTTTAGATTGTAAAATCTCGCTGACCGTCGAGACGAATTTCCCCACAACCAGAATGACAAAGACATCTGTTTACACAATGACCTTAGTGGCTTTCGATGTGCGAAACAGGAATTCGGTTAGCTCGAAGTTCTACAACACACGGAAAATCCTACCTCGGAGTAACTGATATTTGATACCATCCAATTAATAATCCTGCTGGTAGCCTAACCTTATTACGGAACGTTGGCTGATTGGATTTTCTACATATTTTTGATTTAGTAGAAGCAAATACATTTATCTTATATTACCTTCTGTAGTTAGGGTGAGCAGATGTTAGACGTTTTATTTTAAGCCCTGCGACCCTGCCTTGCACATGTCAGGGTCCTTTGATCAGGGCGACATCTACATACATATGTCCTTGTCGAGTTAAATAGAAGTAGAGTGAGACAGAAGTGGAGTAACACAAATTAAATTGCACCACTATCAGCTTCCTCCATTTTGGTTTGTGGCCTATGACCAGTTGCACAAAGCTTAAGGGTGTACCATGAGGAAAATTTGTGTTAATAAGAGGGTCTGAACATAACTATATAACCATGAAAAAGCATAATTCAATTACAAATATATGGGAATCGTTCTTTACATTTATTTATTTAAGAAAAATAATAATATTTCTTCCAAAAACTCGAAAGCAAAAACAAATACGAATTATTTGATCAGTGCAGTTATTCCTCGCTTTCATCAACAATTTCTAAACGAATGTTTAACTTCAGAAAATAAATTAAAGTTTGCATGCGTTTGACTTTTGTATTTAAATAATTTATTTCAATTTGGAATTTCCATATCTAAATTGTATAACAACTTAAGTTAACACCCAGAAAATTTAACAAACAAACATGAATCACACAAACTGTTCGTTATTGCTGCGGTTGTCTTGTGTCCTGCAAGAAGATTTGTGCAATATTTACAATGCAAGTAATAAAACATTTTCTGACGACTGCAAATAAACCAATAAATTTACTCATTAAATGCATCAGAACACTCACTGAAGCCTCGCAAATACCATAGATATGTATAATGAAAGGAAAATAAATTGTGTATGTAACTATGTACCTACATACATACATGCTACTAAAAAATTTACAAATGTAGGTACTAATTAATAGCTTTGTTCGCCTACAAAATTGCCAGTCATTTTCAAAATACAGTATATATATGTATATGTAGTAACAACAAAATTTCTATCAGCCGCAGACAGGGTTGAGGAGAGTCTTAAAATTTCTTAAGACATTGTCGGCCAAAGGTAGGCGGGTGCACATGCAAGCTCTTTTTTGAAGTCATTATGACGATATACTAATCTGGTGGTTAGAAGTGTCCGAGCCTCACGCAGAGAGTTTAGTTCTCAAGATTACGCTAATCCAAAGGCATATTTTCGTGGAACTTTAATCCATGAATCTGAATCTGATAATTTGTCGCCAATATTTGATACGTAATGTCCCTAAGCTAAAGTAACTCCCACAAAGGAACTTTTCTTGTCTCCCAATCTAATTCAGCAAATGTTCAATGGCTCTACTATTTTCAAATTTTCCTAGTTCAATAAAGAATGCCAGTCGTTTGTCTTCTTAGCCAACTTACACCAAGTGGAAATTCCAAGTGAAGCCAATTCCTTCATAACTTGGTCATACAAACAGAGACTACGTCTTCTTCTGCTAAGGGATACATATTGACTACTTTCAGGATCGACGTCTTTGTGACCATTTGTACCACATGACTGGGCAAGGGGAGCCGTTGCATTTTAATTCTCTATATTACGTATACATACATATGTCGTTGTAACGTCCATCGTATGCGGTATTCCTTTGAGGCAAATATATCTATTTGGATACAGTTACTTTAGAGGGCTTCTAATTTCTTCTAACTGTTCTTTTATTGGCATTATCGAAGTCACAGTATTTACATTCTACTTGTTCCGTGTTCAGTTTTTAATAAGTTTAGTTTGCAAAAAAAAAACTCGTTCAGTTTTCAGTTTCAGAGTCTCAACTTCTCCCAATGCATTTTTTTGTTTAGAGACGGAAAACCAAAAATCTTCAAATTGTTTTTTCAATTTCAAAAGCAGTTAAAATCAGAAGACACCACTCCTTTTCCGGGCCATCGATATTTTTTTCTAAAACAATGGGCCTGTGCAGTGATACTAAAGTACTATGGATTGTAAGTTTTTTACAACTATCAGGTGAAGGAAAATTCTGGCTCGGAAAATTCTAGGCTAGTGAAAAATTTGAGTGTTTTTTGTTCTAATATTATTGCTAAGATATCTAATAAATGCATGGCTATCAGTTTGAAAATAACTAAAATCAGCAAAGACAAATACTTTTTTTATAATAATAATAAAAAATTGTTTAGCATTTTAATTGGCCAACTTCTTCTGCATCAGATCAACTGCTAAAAAATTTTAGCAATAAAAAGTTGTTTCACCATAGAACTTTGCTACTGATTAGCCCACGCTCAATGTTTGGAAAAAGCTTTACCAACAGGTCTATTCTATACTGGCAATAAACATTTTGTAGCTGGTAAATAAAGTTCCTGTCAGTTTTTAAACCCTTTTCGCATTCTTTGCACTCTTATAACCGGTAATTTTTTTAACCATCTCATAAGCTGCCCCGTGGAATATGCAGTGCCAGAATTTTTACAAATCTTCATAGCTGAACTGCCGAATATTTTTTTTTTACAGGATAACGCAAAAATAAAAAATATAAGTATGTATCATGGTTTTCATAACAAATGCCTTACAAGTATATTCTTAAAATTAAGCTTGGAAGAAGAGAAATCAAACTCTAAAAGAGTAAGCATTGAATTGACATAGCACCCTCCTTAAAGGGGTGTTCATGCCATAAACGGTTTTTGCTAAGCCAACATAAAATAATTCATTGCAACGAAGAATACGTGGAGGAACATTAAAACAATTCTCATAAGAAGGAATGGACAATCGATAGAGCCTGAAACACATCGATCAAAGAGTACGCCTCGCATCTAAGGCCATAAGGTTGATTAATAGACAGCGAGAACGGTAAGACGGGAGAGGTTCAGTAAATCTTAGCGAGCGAAAAGCAAACCGAGCAAAAACCCATTGAACAGATTCTAATCTATTGATATAAATAGAATGGTATGGTCTCCAAATAAACACCGCATATTCCAGCCTAGAACGAACAAAAGACGTATACAAAGTTTGAAAGTATAAGGATCGGAAAACGTAGAACAATTACGACGAACAAATGCCAACATCGCGAACGATTTAGAAATAATAAAATTGATGTGAGTGGTAAAGCTAAGCTTGGTATCAAAGTAGACCCCCAAGTCCTTAAATTCACAAATTGACTTCAGCGGCACATTTGAGATACAGTAGGAAGTAGGTACCAGTCTTAATAACTTAGCATAGGAGGTATAATGACATTTACTAATATTAAGGAATAGACAATTACGCATACACCAATTGTATACGTTGTCGAGCTCAGCCTGCCATTACCAATGCATCTTGAATTGCGGTGACATAAACTGGTAATACTTTTTGGTAACAAAATTGTCAGGTTACAAATTCATCGGTAATATGCAGAATAGACCTGTAAAGATACCAAACTATTACCAAAATAACTTGGATGTAAAATTTCTACTGCTTTTAATACGCGATCATTAAAATTAACCCTTTTTTAATTTCTGCACACAACTGTGAGCGTTTTCTTGGATTTTTTTTATCGCTTTCAAAAAACGTATGGAATTAATTTTCATTTGTGCCCTGGGCCCGATATAAACTTCATATAAAGGCTCAAAAATAATATGATTGATATCAGTCCAAAACTAAATCAAAAAACTAAATTAATCATAAAGTAAATAACTCAATTATTCGATTAATTGGAAATTATGATTACTCAAAAGTTCAGTTACTCGAGTAAGCAAGATTTTTGATTAAACAAAAAAAATAATATTTGAGTAAGTTGCTTTATGATTAATCAACATTTCGAGTAAAATGAGTAATCAACATTTCAACTCTTTACATATGTATAAAGTAGTTAAAGATCCTTGATACTTTGAAAACAACGATTCTCTTTTCAAAAATTAAAACGAAAAATGTTTTTCATATACAGAATGTAAAAAAGAAAATAAGCATTTTCCAAAGCAAACTCTTTTAACGAGCAAAATTATTTTTTTTTAGTAATCATATTTCAAGTAACTCGATTAATCATCGTTTTGAGTAATCAAAATCTTGATTGCTCCAACTTGCTCGAGTAATCGAATAATCGCACAGCCCTAATTTTTAGTTTTATTTTCTTTTTCGATGATCATATTATTGTCTGTTTATAAACAGGCAATAATGATTTGGAATTTTTTACCATCGGACAAACAGTAAGTTAGGTATTAACAGATCAGTTTTTGTTTTGCAAATGCGTATCTTACGTATAAATGTAGAATATGGTCATTCATTTTCATTTCATAGTAAATATTTAATTGTGATAATCTCAAAATCGGAGTGTTTTTGCAAGAGAGGGAGTGTCGTAGTGTCCCACCTAACGGCATTGCTGGTCAGCATTTCAAGCTCTTACAACTACTTATTTGGGATTTTCTCTTTTTATTAGGCAAAATACGTCGAACCTCCCTCTTCAGCTCCCTATATCGGTCCCATACAGATCACCTTACGCCCGATCGTAGCGTATCCTCCTGGCGGCATCTGTTTTCTCTGCAGTGGCACGATGTTAATCATCGTACCAGGTTTTCTTTCGGGCTCGCTGAAATCCGACTACTTATTCGGCGGCAGTACGAAATGAGCGTCAAATTTGGTTCTCCTGCCAGCATTAGAGTGCGTACGCACAGAAAATCGAGTGCAGCCGAGGGCAGCAAGGTGAAGTGAAGCGTAACTATAGGTGTAGGCTTCTCGCATGGAAGCGGCAGCAAATATAATATGCGCATTACATACTTTAAATGAAAAGTAACTAGAATATTTGTAGTATTCGCTTAAATTTTTTACTGGAAAAATACAGTTTCATACAATTTTTGCACGTACCCTAAGTAAATTTGTTGAATAACGCTTTCTGAGAGCAGATGCGAGAGTTGAGTGGCGAATAAATTGGCCGGCTATTGTGTTCTTAGTTTTTGACGACGTGCTTTCCTTGTGCAAATGCGTCTGCGTAATTTGGTTGGAATTTCCCGACGGTGGAGCCAAGAATCCCGTCCTTGCCACTCTCGACATGAAGACATAAATGCGCTCATGGAAGAGATATTAAATGTTCCGTCCCTGTCTTTCGTCAGGGGGTAGGTGTAAATAAATGAGGGGTTGAAGGATCTTGATTTGAAGTGGATTGTGGGCAAAAACACATCCACTGGGTGAATGACAGTACACGGTAACGGAGTCTCTCTCCCACCACAAGGCCGGCACTTAATTTGCACTGCTGTACATTAAAGTGGTCCAAAAATGTATGTAAAGAAATAAGGTCGCATTTTTAATGCCGCCAGCCCCTAGGATTGTTCTATACCAAAAATAATTATACCCCTATTTTTTTATTTTGAAATAAAAAAAATAGGGTGTGCTCAAAGCGCTCAAAGTTTTCAATGTATTTTATATGGGAAAAAAACAACTTTTCGTAGAAATAGTGTAGAATTCTTGAAAATCAATATTTTTCGATCGGAAAACTTTGCTTATCTTCAGGAGATTCCTGGTAATAATACCCAATTGTTCCTTTAACAATTTTTTCATGGTGACTATATTTTATGGGTCCTTGAAAATGCAATGGGGGGACCAATAAAAAATCTTTAATCATAAAAAATGGTTAAATAAACAATTGGATATTAATATTTGAAGTCTCCTGAAGAAAACCACAGTTTTACGATTGCAAAATATTGATTTTCAAGAGTTGTATGCCATTTTTACGAAAATTGGTTTTTTCACCATATAAAATACATGGAAAAGTTTGAGCGCTGTTAGCACTCCCTAAATATTTTTTGATTTCAAAATAAAAAAATAGGGGTATATTTATTTTCGTTTCAGAACAATCCTAGGGGGTGGCGGCATTAAAATTCCGACTTTATTGTTTTGGACCACTCTACTGTACATTGACAGCTATAGTGAACGGCTCTGCACCCAGAGCCTTTCCCCAGCTTGTGCTTACGCTAAATTAATAGAACTTTTCCAAAATTCGCATACAACTAAAACCTTCCTCAATTTCATAGTATAAAAAAGAACAAAATCACAAAAAACACCCTCAGCTCCAAGTTGACATTGTTAACTCTCCAATAGTGATGTTCCTCACGACATTATGTATACATTCTTATTTGCGTTTATACTACTTTTTCATATACATAGTTAGGTAGACCATAAGATGTATGTATGTGCTTTCATAACTATTTATGTGCTTACTTTCTGTTTTTCATACATTTTTCAGGTTGCATGGATTAAATCAGACTCCAAAGCAATACTCGGCATTCACACCCACATGGTGTCACTTAATCCCAGATTATCAGTGACACACAATGGTCACAACACCTGGAAACTACACATATCCCACGTACAGCTCAACGATTCGGGCAGTTACATGTGCCAAGTGAACACAGATCCCATGAAGAGTCTGGTAAGTAAACTCAACTAACCCAAGTAAGCCAACTAAGCATCGAATAAGGTGCTGCATAGGTACATACATACAAAATAGTTTAGGCAGGTGATAGTTATGTATATGAAACGAAATGGCCAAGTATTAGCTGGCCATACTATTTTAAAATTAGGCAATGGGTTATGCACAAAAGCTCTACAAATGAAGGAGGTGTGGTAGCACAATTTAAGCTGTTGATCCAAACATGGCACTGAACTTATGGTGTCATGCAACGCTACTCCAATCACCTTTGCAACCGCGCACTTATACAAGTAACTACTTTATATGTATATAAGTAACTGCGTAATTCCAGCTGGAACCAGTAAGTTAAAGTGCAGTCTCCATTTTGCTACTTCACTTGTTCGTTGAACTTTCACAGTTTTTTACACTAAACCAATGTTAATTAAGCAAGCTGCTGTCTGCTGTGAATGTATCTTGGCAGCAAAAATAATATTTTCTTTCAAAATCCATGCGCCTAAGCTCCCTTCTAGTATCAAATTCTTTCTAGAAATAAACGTGTGAATTGTTTTAAGCCCCAATATGTGACACTACGTACAATAAGTACAAAGAGGCTAATGCCAGGTATCCTATCTTAAGCCTCGTAAGGAAGGAATGTTATTGTCCATATGTAATGAAAACTGCTTGTATATTAGTACATATGTATGTATGCATATGCCTCAATTTCTTGGCCAATCGATAAATATACTCTAATGCGATATGATTATAGTAATCCTTAAAGGTCACCACTTCACCCCTAATGGGCAGAACCTCTTTTCAATTCACATGTTACTTCGTAAACAAAAACAAATTACAACACAAACAGTTTGATTGTGCACAATACATACATACATATGTATATGCTTATACAGGTCAACTCGTTTGAAGATTCGCCTGGGGCCTGGAATTTGTCTCTGAAGCCACACATAAGCCGTTCTGGCTGAAATAATAATAGCACTCTTGATGATAGCAGATTGCACATATTTAACTCAAATATGAACCGCAAAGAAATACATGTATGATGGGGTTTGTTAGCATACATATTTACAAATATGTTGATATGTACATATGTACATTAGGATAGCTCTCAAAATATTTTGCCGCTTTGGTAAGCGTATTATAACACTTGCTAAAATTTTGTAACCCACATCAAAGTATTTCGGCTCAATTCAGCGTCAGACGAGAGCTGAACCGCTCAAAATCGGGGGTTTCAAATAAACGTGAATACCCCGGCCCAGACATATTTGAACAGTATTTTCGTCGTAAGGTACTATGAAAAATTTATACTTTTCGATCATCATATCTTTTCATATCTATATATTAATACGCTAACATAAATTTTTTCTCCGTTCGTTTGGCGATTCTACTATACCGATTTCAAAACCAAGAACACCATTGGAAAGGCATTTTTCCGTAGATGAGCAGAATTTTTATGGTTTCACAATTGGTTGAAAATTACGGCCAAAACCGTCGTTTAAACATTTCGTATTTGTGTTGCTGCAACATGTTCAATTTGACATGTTTCGCATGTTGTTTCACTTCGCATTTGAAATTAGGCTTTGAAATAAATACGAAGATGAAGAAATAGATGATAACGATGAAGGCAAAAGTGAAGATAAAGACGAAAATGGAGACAATGACAGATACATAAAAATTAAGGTAACTGAAAGGGAAAAAACATTTCTTGAATTTATGAAGTGAAACTTCTTTAGCGGCAGTTGGTTGGTTGGGAGTTAATTTTCAAATTCAAGGGGAATAATGCACATGGAAATGGTTCTCAGCGGTTTAGCGGTTTGAGAATAAAAACAAAAACAAAGATGCTTAGAGGTACAGGCAAAAACGAAGATCAAAGTAAATTTAAACACTTTAAGGTAAAGGTGAAGAGGAATGTGCAAAAATAAAGATAAATATGAAGAAAAGGATGAGGATGAAGATCGATATTGTTATCGATATAAAACTTGATATTTTTATCAATATAATAATCGATATTGCTATGATAAAATAATCGATATTTTTATCGATACTGTTATTGATCAAATAACTGTAATCGATATAATAATCAATATAATAATCGATATTGTTATCGATACAATAACGGATACTGTTATGGGTATAATAATCGATTAAATAATTGATTTTGTTATCGATTTAGCCATTTATATTGTTAACGATATGTACAATAATCGATACTGATGATTGTTATATTTTACAATCGTTAATCGATTTTACAATCGTTGTATTTTTTATATGTTTATGGATATTGTTATCGGTATTTTTATCGACACAGTTATCAACAGGGTTATCGATATACTAATCGGAACATGGAATGTGATCACAGTACTTGACATCACATCACATTTTATCACATGATATGAAGTGACATCACATGATATTACATGACATAATATGATATCACATCACTCGATATCACGTGACATGACATTAGATGATATGACATCACATTATATGGCATGGCATCACATGACATGACATCATATGATATTACATCACATTATATGGCATGACATCACATGACTTAACATCACATGATATGACATCATATGACATGACATCAGAGGATATGACAACACATGACATAACATCCTATCACATAACATAAAATGACGTCACATCTTATCACGTCATCGCTACGTGAATAGAAAAAGAAAAGGATATAAGCAAAGATGTGAAAGATGAAAACAAAGATGAAGACCTTGGTAAAGTTACCGATTTCAAAACCAAAAACACCGTTGGAAAGGTAATTTCCTGTAGATGAGGAGAGTTTTTATAGTTTCGAATTTGGTCGAAAATCGTCGTTTAAAAATTTTCAAAATTGTGTATGGTTGTTTTTGCAACCTGTTCAATTTAAGCCGTTTGTTTTACTTCGTATTTGAAATTAAACTTTGAAATAAAGATAAATGTGAAGATGAAGAAACAAGTGATAATGATGAAGATAAAAAAGGCAACGTGAAGATAAAAGCGAAAATTGAGATAAGGCGAAAATGGAGACAACGAGAAATACAAAAGATTAGGTTAACAGAGTTGAAATTTTCCGATAGGAACCGAAATAAAATCAGCCATAAAGGTTACTGAAATTTATCGAATCATCGAAATTTATCCATGCTTATTTAGTTATCGCAACGTAGCGAATTATTCAAACTGATCAATGTTTACTGAGTTGTCGAAATTTATAGACACAGAAACTTAGTTGTCCAAATTTACGGATGGTTATCGAGCTATAAAAACGTGTGGGATTAACGAAATTTGTCAAGTTAAAGAAATGTATCAAGTTATCGATATTTATTGAATTATCATTATTTATAGACTTAAGGAAGTTTATCGCGGTGTCGTAATGCATGGAGTTCGTTCAACTTACAGAGTTAGCGATAGTTATTGATCTACTGAAATTGGTTGGTTCAACGAAGCGAAGTTTATGGAATTTTCAAAATATATCGATTTATAGAAATTTCAAGGTTATCGATTTGTCACTGCTTATCGAATTTAATCGTCTTAACAGAGCGTAACGAGTTATCAAAATGTTTAGATAGTTTCCGAAAAATGTGGAGAAGTCAAAAGTAAAAATTTATAACGGTATCCAAAGCTTTTACATTTTTGAGTTATCGAAATTTATCGAGCCCTCGAATTTCACAGTTATCGAAATTGGTCGAGTTAACGAATTTTGTGGAGTTATCGAATTTTAGTGTTCTTTAAATTTATCGAACTATCGATATGTATCAAATCATTAAAATTTAGCGATAAACTTGAATGTATCGGGTCAATTCCAAGTCCTGCCGAGGTCCTCCAAAGACCTTCTCAGATAAAAAAAAATGTTGTTACGTTTTAGCAGAAGATTTTCCGGTTAGTTAATTTGTACTGTATAAGTTTTGCTACATGTTAAGTTAGAAAACCTCTCCAAGGCTTCTAAAACTAGAAAAACTGTCGAATTTCGACAGTAACTGGCACTCTAGTCTCTACTTAAAAGATGCTGCAGTCATCAGGCGGGCGGTATGATCGCCACCTATATGCATAAATATGTAGGTTATTTGCCTGTTTTCATTATTCTTAGGTTAGTGTAGTGATAGAACTTTTTATAAAAGTATCGATATTATTACTCATTTAGAACACTCTAAAGAAGAATGGATGCCAATACTCATACATATCTTAGATGTTTTTGCAAAGCCACCCATCGCCCAATTGCAAAACCGCCTATCTTACGGCACTAAAATTTTACAGGAGAGCAGAAAAACGGGTTTTCTTTGAAGGCATTGCTTCTAAAGGTGGTATTTTCTCTAGATATTATTTCACAAATCTGTTTTAAAAACGATTCTATGATTTTTATGCATTAAACTCGATGCCTGTAGTTCAGGGTTACCAAATCTCGTTTTTGTCACAACCGCGATTTTGGTTGGCAACTGGTCGATGTGTGGTTAGATTCCTATATGTAAATTGAACGGAGATTGCTTTTTACCCGACTTCAAAAAAGCGAGGAGGTTATCAATTCTTCGGAATATGTTTTTTATGTATAGTACCGCCTAATTTTGGAGTACGTTAGCCGATTTCTATAATTCTCCTTTTAAAAGAAAGATGGTACCTCAGAGGTGGTCCTATAATAATTTGTTTAGATCTGACAATTGCATCATGAAGAAATTAACAGTACTCTTAAATTTGTATATGAGAATTGAGGTCGGTTTTGTTTTTTGCTTAAAAATTACTTGTGATACTTGAAATCTGATCTAACAAGTATTTCTAAAAGTGTTTTTGAAATAAACTTGCAATAAGTTTACCACAACAAGGGTAACAAAAAAAATGGTATAGCAAAACAGCTTATTTAAAGTTTTTAAAAGTAAGTAATTTAGAAGTTTTTGATGCAAACAAGCCATTCTTTTTTAAGTCGGTTGGATTTCGTAAAAAAAAATTATGTCATGTCTCCGATTCGATTAAAATTTTTTTATGGGTTCCAAACATGAAATAAGGTAACACGTGTTCGAAGAGATATGATCTGTCAAAGTTTGGATTTTTTCGTGATTCTGACTAATCCTGTACTTCTTCAAATCGGTATGCCTCGGATTCGGCCCATCGTACAGACTTCATATTAACATTTCTATATACATATAAGATGGTCAAGATGTTCCTAATTAGCTATTAACAGCTGATTTTTTTGATGTTGATTTGCATAGTTAAGACCAGTAAATTGGGTATTTAAAACTACACCATCGTAATCCAATGCACGCAAAATGCATGTGAAAATGCTGAGAGAAGAACACAAAAACTTGGCAGCCCTGGCGCACACACAATCACATTTTCCCGCCTTTTATAATCGAAACTGTATGGTGGAAAGTGTGTTCTAATATCTATTTGATACACAAAAAATGATCACGGCTGTATTTTTTGCTGATATATTACATACATATGTTCCATTTAGTTAAACAATATAAGAATATTGTAGTATGTACCACAAAAACGTATATTTTCTATAAAAAATCATAACTCAGAAAAAAAAATCTTCGCTATTAGAGATTTGGGTTGATTGTAGTTCGAAGTGTCTCTTTCACGGTAAAAAAGTTTGAGAGAAAAAAAAATACACTTTTTGAGAAATTAAATTAAAAAAAAATATGCGCTTTTTGTTTATTGTTAAATAAAAAATTTTAAATAATGAAAATCAATAATTATACCATTCTATCTTGAAGTGACAAGAATTACTGACATTTGAGTAAAAACATTGTTGGAATCTATTAAATTTCGACAAAGTTATGGGCATTTTAAAAAAACATTCTCACTTTCAATTCGAATAATCGATTTTTGCCTGAAAAACAAAATCGCGTTTAATTCGGCCGAAACATTTTTCCGAGCCAAAAGAAAAAACACGTGTCTCATTATTTGGACCAACAAACAATGTATTTGAGTTTGGTCGAAATTAAAAATCATGCTCGTACCTGACCGGTTGTCTGGAAATGGAAAGCATCAGTAGAAACATAGCGGTGACTCATCCCGTTCGTTGATGTCGCTGCAGCTCCCTATTGCATGAAATGTGCGGCAAAGTCGCTCCACAGTGTTGCCATTTTACATATTTTCCAGCTGGATATAGCTGTTTTCCGCCGAGTAGCTTCTAATTTGGCTGCTAGCTTTTTTTAGCTTTTTTCGGTAAATATTTTAACTCTTTCTAGCTGTTTTCTAAATTTAGGAAAATCCAGATAAAAAAACTAAAAAAACATTTTGATATTTGCCTTTACACTTTTCAAGGTTTAAGCTTAAAAATTTTTTCATTTGGCTATTTTTAGCCTTTTTTTTGTCCATTTAGCTGGATTGCTGAGAAAATTCTGACAACACTGGTTATCACATAGTCCTTGTCATATTTATTCTGGCTATAAATCCTATTCGCATTTTTTTATTGCAATGCATACACTCATGAACGTTATAAATACCAATATATCTGTAGGCGAGTACTAGGGTCAAATGTCATAATCTAAAATGTCATAATCTAAATTCATTCATTCATTTTGTATAGGAGAACACACAAAAAAATATGAAATAATTTTTAATGGTCACTACCGGGGTGAAGATATTGAAATTTGACTATTTTAACATATTTTGTTACAATAGAAAATACGCGTTTTCAGCTTAGGAAGTCCATATTAACTTTTTCCATGGATTTGACATGCGATATTAAGCTCCAAAGGCTGTCATTTGTTAAATATTTTTTTTTTAATGAAAGCAGCGTTTTCTAATTTTTTCCTAAGTTCCCAATAACACTGGATTACAAAAAATTACCTTGAAAGCTGTGAAGGACATCATGTATAGGGGAAAGTTAATATAGACTTTCTGAACTCAAAACGAATTATTTTAATTTCTTCTTTGGTAACTACACTGAGAGAAAAATCAACCAAAAACTGGTTAATATTACCAAATTCAAACTTGAAAAGGAATCAACAATATTTTGATTAATATTAACAATGCCTTGGTTGACATTTTCAACCATGATTTGGTAATATTAACCACAATTTTGTTTACATTAACCAAACTTTTGGTTGGAGATTTTTCGTTTGAATACGTTTATGTTCTGCACTTCACAGATGCTTTTTCATAATTCAGAGATATAAAACAAAAATTTGTATTATCCTTTTAATATGTGGCGGGATTAGCAAATAACAGCAAGCATCCCTACACACTCAGCTTCAGCCGCTTTATAAATGCGTCTTCAAATGTTAAACTTGAGAGGCTTTTTCTTAATTAAGAAAAATCAAAAACAGAAAAAAAAATAAAAATTATGTATCGCGCTCACGCCATTCGTACTGCTGGAATCCTACAAATAACAGCAAGCACCTTCAGCCACTGCCATACATACGAATTTATTCTCAAATGTTTAACTTGAATCACATTTCTTACAATCGGCTTATTGACCATGAAAAAATCAAACCATAACTTGGTTGAGAAACCTATTGTGCTTTTGGCTCAGTGTAAATTTGTCAAATTTGTTGAATTTAAATATTTTCAAACCCTGTTAAGGACCTCTAAAAACGATTTATAAATTTTGAAAATTTCTTCGGTATCTTTATTGTGTACGTAGAACGAAATGAAGGGATGTCTCATGCAAAATTTCGATCTTGAATTTTAAAGAAGCACCCTAGCGTGTATATACGAAAAGGGTTTATAAATTTGGACACATATGCACATACGAGGAAATTTAATTCAATTAGCAGCTGAAGTATTAACATAGCATTTTAAGATAAGCCGGATTTGAGTTATTTCACAAACATAAATATGTCATCGCAATGGCAATATGTACGTATGTTGAATATTAATAATAATAATAGATTGGCGTTTACACATACATATGTTAGTGTTTGGCCGAGCTTCTTCTCCGATTTGTGGTGTGAGCCTGGATGTTGTTACGCAAAGCGGAGGGACCTCCAGTTTTATGCCGACTCCGAACGGCGATTGTATTTTTATGAGAAGCTGTTTTTCATGGCAGAAATATACTCGGAGGTTTGCCATTGCCTGCCGAGTGACGACTGCTGTTAAGAAAAAACATTTCTTCTATATTTTCTTTTGCGATGTTGCTTTGACCAGGGCTTTGGAGCCACGCTTACGAAGAGAAGGTAAACACGTGGAAGATCCATGCCAAAAATCTGAAAATTACGTCATTTAAATTATGATGAACCCTTACAAAGGAGACATTTTCTTTTAAGTTTTTTTAACTGGGTTGAATGTTTTTTTCTCGCGGCTCAAACGTATGTATTTATGATAAGGCGAAACCGAACCGAAAGGATTTATGTACTTACTTACGTTATATGTATATGTATGAACATTTCTCCATACTTTAACTGCACAATCCTTAGAATATACTTAAGAATATAATTTTGTTTATGTTCTACTTTCTTCCACATTTGTTCACTTTGCACAAATCCTTGCACTTCCATCCATCACTTACCTGAAGTCTGGCTATTTGGATGTTGTAGTGCCGCCTGACATTCTGAATCATCCGGAACAAAACCTTGAGGAGGGTATTAGCAATGAGGGCGGCACAATTGTGCTCATCTGCAGTGCTACCGGTGTTCCTGAGCCAACAGTACAATGGAGACGCGAGGGCGCCAAGGACATAGTCCTGCGAACGGAGACAAGAGAGAAGCAAGGTAAGATAACTGGCATAAGTAATTGCCTTTTTATTAATGCTTATATAGAAAATGTGATACAAAATAAAGAATACAGTCTTGAAGAAGACGGGTGTTCCTCTTAATTAGATTTTAATGTTTAATATTAACATACTTTTGAATAACACACCTTATGATTACAGCGACCATCTGTTCTGTTTTTAATGGAACTGCTCTGCTTCTGAAGCGTCTGTTCTGTGTATTTTAAGCCGTTGTAAATATTTTTTAAAGCAACATAAATATACACTTGTTTTAAAATAGCTTTTTTAAAACCCTTATACTGAAGCTTGGCTATTATTTGTGTTTAGGCGTTTGTTATATTATTAAAAATCAGTGCGAACTCTTAGCCACTTGAAACAGACACTTTATTGTACTAACATTTAATAAAATTTTTATAGAAACAAAAAAAGTAATGAATTTGCTTTCAACTAGTTTTTTTATATAACTTATATTAACCAGAAGAGGAGAATCGACTTTCTTCAAAACAACTACTTTTTCTGCACTTTGCACTAAAAAATTTAGTACAAACAAACAAAAATTCAAAAATCGGACACAACTGATCTCTTGAAAATTTTATTAGCTTTAATTTAAGACAAAAAAAACAAATTGAGTGAAAAACGAAGGCTCCAGTGAATTGTGAACACAAATTGCCAATTTTAAACCACTGTGCGATGTAAAGAAAAAAGGACACATTGGCTAAGATCTACTTAAATTCAAAGTATTAAAGGCTAAGATTGGGTTAAAGGTTAAGGTTAAAGTAACATTCTCGTCTCATCTGAGTAACTCATACGCCATGTACGGACGTTCGATTTTAACTTTTGCTTTATAAATTGTACATCAAATATGGATCCGCCATTCAGCGACCCCAAAAAGAGCCGAGACTCAATTTTCGAGCAAAAATTTTGAATCAAAAAAAATCGTTCTCCTTCTCAGATCCGCCATTGAGATTTTTTTAAATCCGATACCAAAATTGTATTGAGTAGGGTGTACGATTATTCGCCTTTTTTCCAAACCCGGTTTTCGAGTTATTCTAAAAATTGTAATTAGAAAAAACCGGTTCCCTATTTGGATATTGGAAAAACTCCGGATAGGCTGGTTTTGTTTTACATAGTTTTCATATACTGAACGTTAGCAAGAAGTGATGACCAAAATATTACAATAAACATACGAGCAAAGTAAAATAAGTTGAAAGTTTTTTTAGATCAAAAATAAAACAAATAATAATCAGTGAAAATTTCACATTTGGTATTGTTTTGACTTTTCTTAATGCTATATTGCATTTTTTTCCTAGGCTTAACTAGTTCTACCTAGATCCAATATATCCGTCCAACCGGAAACAAGTTTGACGCCACAATATTGTGGACTGCGTAGCTGGAGTTGGACTGATGAGGGTTATTTTTTTTAAGTGCAGCCGAAGGCCACCTACCCGGAAAGCTGTTCTGTGGCCCTTGATCAAGTTTAGCCTAGGCAAAATTAGCTTGTCCTAAGATCGGGTTTGGCCCGTCGCATATACAAAATTAAGGAAACTTTAACGAATTTTCGTCAAAATTTTAAACTTTGTTCTCAATTTTTTTTTAACAAATTTCTTATATGCAGTTTTATAACCCATTCAATAATAATAAACAAATTTGAAGTGGCTAAGAAATCACGTTGATTTTTAAAAATTTTTTGCCGACAGCTCCACGCAGTTTCTTCCATATAAAGAAAAACTTCGCTCATAGTACCTTGCTTTGCCGCCTCTGATTGAGCAAAACGATACTCGTTTATTCACTGCCGCCCTAATTGAGCGTTGGCGTACTGCTTAAATGTGCAAGGGGTTGGTTTACCCAATCAGCCACTTCAATGTTGCACAAGTATCACTTACCTTTCTATTAAAGAAGGTTGGGTGCAAACATATTAGGGCAAGCGATTAGGTAATGAGGGTCGTTATTCTACTCCCCAGTGGTATTTAGTTGTGGCAAGTAACTTGTATGTGGATGTGTGCGTGCATTTTGTTTACACACAAAAGCAAGTGTCTGGTATACCACATTATGACCGTTTAGCAAAAACACTGTCCACACACTCATGGTTCCGTTTTTTTTTGTGTTTTTTTCTCGTACTTATTTACATTATCTCAGGCTTTCTACTTACATATGTGGACATATATAGTCTTATACATATGGACATATGTAAATTAGGGTATCCATCGAATTTTTTTTTTCCAAAACCCTACCCACTAGTTTCCTTATTTTTTATGAGATATATTATTGCCTATTATTATAGATTTTATAAAAATCATTTAGAGAGACAGAACCTACTCCCCTTAAAATATAGCTAGCTTTAAGTTTTTTGAAATTACCGTTGCGTTGGTGGAGCCCGTGGTTTTTGACCGATTTCAAAAATATTAAGACGTTGCTTAAGGAGGCTAAGGTGTGTACCAAATTTGGTCGAGATCGGTCAAGTAGTTTTTGAGATACGCATATATCATATAAGTGGGCGGTGCCACCCCCATTTTCCTCAAATTTATTGAAAACCCACATTTTTGCTAAAGAGCGATTGTATATATCAATTTTGAATAAATATTTATGAATTCCTTAGCCACACTGCTCAAAAAATCTGATAGTCCAATACATAAACAATAAAAATTCAAGGCCGTATTTAAGAAAGTCGCCTAATTTCGACAATTTTTATGCGATTGCAATAAATGAGCTAACAGTTTATTTGAAAATAGATTTAGTTTTAGATAGTAATACACATTTTGAAATTGTGGAAATAAGTGATGGTGAAAAGTTAAAAAATTAAGAAAAAATGTTTTTTTTTTGCCCGATGAAAAATGCTAGATTATTATAGATTATCCACTTCTCACAAAATGCTCGATCTTTAAAATTGAATGAAAACTAGTCATTCAAAAACGAATAAATTTATAAAACCGGACTTTCTAAGCTAAAATGTCAAGTCGCGACCTCTAAATGATTTTTGAAAAATCTTTAAAAATAGGCAATAATATTTCTCATAAAAAGGAAAGAAATTAGGGGGTAAGGTCTTAAAATTGCAAAAAAAAATAAAAATCGAAGAGCACCCTAATATACATACACACTTATGTTTGTGCATACATATGTATACTTTGCATATAAAGTTAATGGAATGAAGAGGATTGAGGAGTGTCAATAAAAACACACACATATGCAAAAACTGTACCTTGAAGAGAATTCTCTCTCGTTGTAATTGAATGGCTGTTAGCATATTGTACTTGCTTCTGTGGTATCACAATGTACCTGCAAGGTCTAAGTGAGTTGGTTGTTTGAACCGATTTCCCCAACAACCTAACTTAATCTACACTCTGATGGCGCTCCTCGTCTTGAAAGTGCACAAGCTCACTCAAATCTAATGGAGGCATCATCTGTCTGTCATGAGGATCCGTTAAGCGGAAAACACGGAAAACAACAAAGAGGCTAAATACCTCATACCGAAAATATCAATATCGAGAACTAGAGCACTCCTTCACCTCACAAGGCATAATGTAAAAATTTTTACAGACTGTCTTACGGTTCACTGTAGGGTATGAAGTACCTGTGCACCTCGGAGTAGGTCTTTCTGACCAGTGCAGGTTGTGTAATGAGGAACAGAAAACATCAGTGTATATTATGTGCCAGTGCGGGGGCGTACTCGGCCCAGACTTTGCTTTCTTTTATCTCTGTAGCCTAATTTTATTCAGCCAAGAGACGAGCTTCCCTAACAGTATCTGGTTGAAGAAAAGTCCTGTAATCAAATAGAGTTTTGTTAGTTCGTTTGCGGTCGTGTTTTTTACAGACTCGTAGGTCTTCAGCTAGCTTCTTTCTTAGGTCTGTAACCACAAAATTCTGAATAGTTAACATTATTTGTCAACTGCTTTCGTAATCTGCTTGGATCTATATTTGGTGTGATACACACCCATCACAACTTTCTGTGCCCTTCCTTGATCATGCGGCTCCTTCTATTTACAGATTTATTTTTTACCATCTGCACTTAAACCTCATATCCAAAATGTTTCTCACATGCTTTTTCTGGTTTACTTAAAGTAAATTTAAGTTTATCTACCTACTCTTATGCATATCTTTGTATCCTATTACCCTTTCGATATTCGCCTTCATTTACTACAATATTAACTTTCTATTCATTTCAGTGGTCAAATCAGTGGAGGGTGAAAAGCTGGTATTGACAAATGTACATCGCACAGACATGGGCGGATATTTGTGCATCGCCTCGAATGGTGTACCGCCGTCAGTAAGCAAGCGCTTCGACGTGCATATCAATTGTAAGTACTGCAACCACAATCGTAATTACATTTGAATTATTTGCGGGAATGCACTCATTCTATGCATTTCTTTTTAAGTGGACAAGTTAATTTGTCTTCTGTATTAATTTAAGGGTCAATTTCGTTTTTAATTCACTCTGCTGCGTGAAGGCCATATCTAGAAAAAGAAGGACACAAAGATTACAAATATAAATAAATTTAGAATGTAGGCAATATGTGCATAAAAAATAGGTATTTTTTGGGGTATCCATGACCCACATCACAAACTCTGTTAATAAATAAGAAGCATATAAAAAATTTTCTGTTTTCTATCGGTGGGCATTCGCACCAAAAAATATAGTAAAGAAAAACTTTATTAACTGTTTTGCAAATATATATTAAGCGCTTTATTTATAAATGCAAATAAATATTTCAAAATTACAGTTAAAAAAAAAAAAACTGGTTTAAATATTTTCGCTGTAACCGCATAAGTGACTCTGCCCGAGTCCAATAAAACACGCCAGTCGCCATGGCAGAGGCGGTTTTCCTCCTCCTCTGTTACCTGCATTCGCGACCATTTGTACGATACGATCAAGCCAGCGCAACCGCTATATTTTAATTCGGCGCACTATGTCTAGATCTAAACTTTAAGAGCCTCCCCATCAGATGTTTTCATTGTTCAAGCTTCTGCGTCATATACCAGCACAGTCATTATAGAAGGATTATAAAATGTGATTCGAGAAGGTAGAACAGGCGCACTCTATTTTTTTAACCGCTGATTTTTATGTCGTCGGCATTCGCTTGCAATTGCAAGCTCATTTAAAAAGTTTTACCTGAGGTTGTAGTTCTTCAACTTTAGATTAAAGACATCACACCATAGGAAGGTGCTGTCGAAAGCGTCATTGTCTTCCTGGGAATCTTTTCTAATATTTGGCATATCGTGAATATTTTGGTCTATGGTGGTTTTACCATGTCTATCGGCTCGCGGATAAAGCCCAATAGGTTCGCTGGCGGTGGTCTTTAGTCTTTCGTACAATACGCTCAATGAGACCTATTTGACTATAGGTACGGTGAACTTCGTACCGATTTTGGCAGGCAGTACCGATTTTGGGAAAATTGTCCCGCTGAATATTTTTTAAAAGTCGGGACGTATAAGTGCCCGATTTTTCTTATTTGTATCGATTAAATCCCGATTTTCAGTATATCATTTATTAATTGAATAAGAGTCTCCCTGTACTTTGTTCCAAAAAACTAATTTTCGCACAAACGTGGAAACACTTTCGTTATCACAAAGAAAAGGTATTTATAATTTTTTGTTAAGTTTTTTTTTTAATGAAACGATTCCAACTTTAATTTAGTGATATTACAAAATGAATACTGATTCCCTCAATAAATTAATGAATATGAAAAATACAAGTTGTTAATACAGTGACGAAAATATAAATAAAGAAAAGATATTTTAGCAACCTATGGTTATTACTCTTTCGATTATTAAATGTTTATTATTTGTTCATGAAAGTGTTCCTCGTTATCTAACAAATGCCATGTAAGTCATAATATCAAAATATGTACCAAACTTAACAAAATTCGACAAAGTTTCATCAAAATTTTTAGCTTTTCAATTAGATTTCTTAGAAACAGTCTGAGCTGGCAGTTTTGTAGCCCATTCAATTCAAAATGCAAATTTTAAATAGCTAGGACTTATCGTTGAAGGAGTTGCTCATCTTCCCATAGAACAAAATTTTCGAACATACTAAATATGTATGAAAGAAAGTGCGCGAATAAAAAATTTGCAAAAAATCGACAGTAAAACTTGAACTTTATTATACTAAAACTTACTGAGCTACAAAACTGCACACTCAATAGAATCCTAAAAAAATCTGATAAAAGTGTTTAATATTTTGTTTGATATTTTGATTTGTTAAAATTCGTCGAATATTCAAAAATGTTCTACAAAGTTTGACATTTTGATTTACTTGGTTTTTTTAGATAGTAAGCTATATTTTCATAAAAAAATAATAAACAATTTTTTAAACAAAGATAAGTAGCCAAAACTTGCTAAAGTGTCTTTCCCTATCTACATTCTCGCCACCGTATATTCTGTGTGCATAGATTTTTGCGATCAGTTTCAATTGTTTTCTCTTTAGTATGTTTTAAATAAAATTTTTAAAAAGATGTTATGACCTTTTATTCTTAAAACAAAATTGTATGTTCGGACCACAGAAATCTGCTCACCGTTACTATAGGTAACCTCAGATCCAGGTGCAGGGATGATAGTAGAAAGTTCAGACTTAATTTTTTTTTTCTACGTTGAATGTCCTGTCACCTTTTGTCTCTTTGGTAGAGCTTCTCAAACATTGCCGAAAAGCGATTTGTGACACTTTTAACACACTTTTCTCAAAATTTGGAGCTGATGGAAACTTTTTATCTACAAATTCGTTATTGGCATACAAATCAAATTTTGTTCCCATTAATTTTTATTATTAACATTTTAGTACCTCATTATGCAGTTACACAAGATGAAAATAAAAAATTTTGAAAAAACAATGTTGATAAACAAAAATAACATGCATATTTAAGACCACTCGTTTCTCGTTGAATTTAGTAAAACACAAATTGGTATTAATAAAAAAGTGGCAACCCTCATCGAATATATATGTATGTCTGGATTAAAGTGCCCAAAATATCTTTGATTTGATATCCATATCAGCTGCTCACCTAAGTTAAATTTTGTAGAATCGAATATAAGTGGCAACCTTACACTAATGTCTTTGTTTAAGAGCTTACTTTTCATACGCATAAATTTTAATTTTGTATGATAACTTTCTAAGCAAAAAATTTAATAAAAGTGCGTTGGAAACTGGGTGTGAACCCTATTCAAAAATATTCCCGAATTGAGGCTTTTTGAAATACTTTCTATGTGATACCCATATTATAATGTGTTATTTAGTTTGTAACTAATTGCGAATAGGTGGCAACCTCACACGAATATGTTTTTTTTTCGGAATACACGATTTCATCAAAATCGTTACAGTCGTTTCCAATAAACCTATTGATATACATACATATATGTGCATATGCACATAGCATATGTATATACAGGAATGGCTCGTTTAAAGTAATAAAATTTGTGAAATTTTTAATATGACTTTGGTTCACGCTATTGCCAAAACAAAATGGACATAAGACCATATCGATGCTGCACGGAGATAATTGTTTTCTTAAACCAAAGCAAACAAGAAAATCGAGACTTGTTTTTGAACTTAGAAAACATATTCTTGTGATCAAGAAAATCTAATAAAATCTAATATGAGAATATACAAGAATATATTTTCGTGATTTAGTCTTAAGTATACGGGTTTTTTACAAATGATTTAAATTTTAGAATTTGTAAAGCACTTAACTGCGTTTTAGTGATAATTCAAAGGCAGATGTCGCTTCATATACATACATACAAATATGATATTGCCAAATGTAAAAGTTCTATAAAGGTTTTAGAGAATATATTAATACTAGGTTTACATATAAGTAGATTATCCTCGTTTTCGAGGTTAACTCCCTAATCTGTCATTAGAAAAAGAGATTGGCCATACAAAATTCGTCCCTCGTTAATCTGTAATTATAAACTAATCTCATATTATACCGATAAGGACAAGGAGAGTAAAAAAACAACCGTGACGATGATTTTGAAAATCGAAAAAAGAAGGAAAGTTTAAAAAAAGTAGACAAAAGAATAAAACAAAATTAAATAAATTAATTAATTAACGTTTAAAATATTGATTGCTGTGTTTAAAATAACATAACGACCCAATTATTCAATAAAGAAAACTAATGGAAATTCAATAAAATCGGCCTGTAGCGCCATCTAGCGCAGAGATAATAAAAAACGAACTTTAAAAATGGATTCCTCGTATCAAAAAGAATATTAAAGAATATTTTTTAAGAACTTAACCTAATTAAACAACAAATTGTGTTCAAGGATTTAATTAAGGATATCTTCCTTATTTGAGCTAAACTGGAATAAATCCATTGACCTAGTATGACTGACATCTAAAACTATCACTTGTATTTAGTTTTACTCAATACCGGTCAGATTTTGTCGCATAGTGTAATCTGGCATTTGCCTATGTAAACGGGATGATTAACAAACTAGCTTTGATTGAGATTATATTTATATGTAAACATAATTTAAGAAACTTCTGACTTCATATAAGAAAGTATTTTTTTGTTAATTTTCAAATTTATTTTTGCCGTGTTTTGTTTGTGTAACTTAACAAATTATTTTCTCAATATGAGTAAAGTTATTTTCTTAAATTTACCAAATTTGAGCAAACGTTTTCATGTTAATTTTAATATTTTCACTACAAATGGATTATACGAGCAACTTTTTCACGGCAGAAGTACATTCGAAGGTATGCCATTTGCTGCCAAGGTATGACCGCTGCATAGTGGTTCAAAATTGGAATTTAATGCTCATAATTTACTGGAGCCTGCATTTTTTGACCAGTTTGACTAATTTTTTTTTAATAAAAGCTTTAAAGTTTTACAAAAGACTATTTCAGTCCGATTTTTTTAATTTTTATATGTTTATATTAAATTCTGTAGTGTAAAGTGCGTAAAAAGTAGCAATTTTGGGTAAAATCGATTTTCCTATTCCTGCCATATTTTTGCTAAATAGGAAACGCGAAACTTTTAATTTGCTCTTCACAAAATTTGTTATAATTTGAGCTATGTAGTTATAGCCAAGTTCCATGGATATGTTTTGTGAGATTTTAAATTTATTTCACAAATATATGCAGATAAGTTTTCCAGAAATTTTAAATTGTGTTTAACAGAATGGGGCAGTACTTCGTTAGTAACTCGTTAAGACATTTTCAACGAATCTCCATCTATACCTACATAAACTTGCACATTCTATTTTGCTCACTTTAACTCCCACAAAAGTGTCTAGCAGCAACAACAAGGCATGAGGAGAAATTTTGTTTGAACTGGTTACCATTGCTTAAATTTAACTTTTACTA